CAAACAAAGGGTTACAGGGCTCGCCGGCGACTGCAAGGAGAAGAGAAGCCAGATGCCGGCGAGAAAGGGAGCGATGGGGAAGGCGGTGCTATAAGCGGTGGGATAAGAACAAAGTTCTTTCTCTCTCTAACTTTTTGGGATTTTTCGCATTTTTTCTTATAAATTATATATTAAAAACGTATAAATTATCGTTTATTAGTTAAAAGTGATGAATCTTATAAATTACTTTCAATAGGTAAAAGTAAAACATAACAATAATATGCATAGTCATGTTGGCTTAATTCTTATTTAATTCGTCTCGATCAATGAGTAATTTATTACTCCTTCTGTACTAATCGCAACGCCTTTTTTTTTATGTCCGTTTCATAATAATTCCAACATTTAATTAGAAAGAACCCACTATTATTTTATTATTTCTCTCTCCCACTGATCCTACTTTTACAAATGTTTTATTATTTCTCTCTCCTACCAACTACACTTACATAGTTACACTACTACGGTCTCCAAGACATATGTTAAAACGTTCATATCTCCATTTTTCATGCGTGTAAAAATTATAAGAAAGTTGATATTAATAAAAGATATATTGAGACGAATCAAACAAAATCTCACTTAACGACTATATTAGCTCTTGTTGAATTACGAGAATTAATGATCAAAGTTTTTAAAGTTTGACCCACATTTTGGCAATAGGGCAAAATGGGGATAGAGGTAGTGTACTTATATTATAAAAAATTCTCCTCTAAACCCTACCTTATAATTTTTCTAAACTTTATACGTATTTAGTGTTGCAATTATTATGAAACAGAAGGAGTAATATTTAACTGTCATATTTTTTTTTAGTAATGTGCAACTAAAGATAATTATGGTGAAAGCAATATATTGACAAACAGGAGAGTATTAAAATTGTAATATTAAAATAAATAAATTTAACAAGATACTACAAAATACCTCCGTTACTTTTTAGATGTAATTGAAGGGTATTTTTTGTGAGTTATAAAAAATTTCTTTGTTGCAACTAAAAAGTAACGGAGTTAGTATATGAAACAATTATAAATGTTGACACTTTTTTTTTGGTGTAGATAAATGTCAACAATTTTAAGTACCGATAAATCACAAGCAATAATTAATTAGGTTTTTTTTTTTTTTTTTTATAAAAAAAAAACTAGAATTATTTATATACTCATATGAGTTAGAACTTGTTCTCTTCACCTGAAACAAGTATATCCGGTCTGATTTTATTAAGGTCTGATCTGAATTTTTATTATCTGGTCTGCTCTGATCTTATTTAATAATTTGACTAAATTTTGACCGCATTTTAATACTAATCTATAAAGAAAAACATTATCAAAATGGATCTTGTTAGATTCATTTCATTATGAACTTTTCAAAATGTAATTTTCATAATTTTTTAATACACAATTAACGATATTTAATAATAAGTAAATGATAATTAAAAGTTCTTATATGATCTGATCTAAATGTTCTTTATGTGATCTGAATTTATTAAGAAATAATTACTCGTAATAAGTATTTGAAACAAGTTGAAGAGAACAAGTTAACAAATTTTAACTTGTGTGAGTTGTGTATACAACTTTTATAAAGTGGCCGTATAAACAAAACGGTGATTGGATACGAAGTGACGTAATACAGCCCGTGCAAAATTAAATAATCCCAAAATATTACGGAGTAGGTGCGTTGTCTTAAAAGTGTTTATACATGGTCAATAAGCAGGAAGAGTCCCTTGTTTATCCAACGGCTGCGATTGTTTTGAGATGTTAATCGTCAAACACCAAACAATGAATGAGCTTCTAGAATCTAGATATGGGGCATTGACATCGGCACTGTAGTGTAAATACTAGTATGGCATGAAGATCGAATTGCACGTAATTTATTAAACCAACCAATAATTTAATAAATGGACTCGAGGTAGGTGGTGAATGTGGTGGAGATGAGAGTAAGATTTATACTTACTTTTTATTTTTAAAATACTCCATTATTTTAGTGACGGAGCTAGAAATTTGTATTTAGGGGATAAATTCTAACTGTTTAATAATTAAACAAAAAATCTCAAAACAAAAAATCTCAAAAAATCACAAAAACCGTTTAATATTTGAATCATATATCAGATATGAAACTATGTAGCTCTATAAAAATATGTAGTTTCACATTTAACGATGATAGCAATTAAACCTGTCAATTTTTGACTCGATCCGCAAACCCGATCCGAACCCAACCCGTTTTTGTGGGTCTTGAACAACTTTTTTTTATCCGTAACCCGATTTAACCCGATCCCGTTTAATCCGTAAATATGCAGGTCAAACCCGACCCGTTGACCCAATTTTATGGATTTTTTTTAGTAAAAACATTTATTTGAAAATTAATATTAGTTTATTGATTAGGTTTGATCGTTTGTCTACCATCGGACATTCATTTAATCTCTTTTTCATTTATCTATCTTATATAACCCTTACTCAAATCCACACCAATCACCTCTTACACCAACTATTGACCCACACTAATTGCATACACAACCCACATCACTGTCATGCCACTGATTAATATGTATGTCTACTGATATTATGTCAAGTGATATTATACTCCACATATATAATAATGCTAGCCTCTTCCTTAAATTTTGGAATGTTTAAAAGTTTTATTTTTAATTTTATTATCATTTTTTATTAGTTAGGAATTGATGTGCTTTGGTGAAATGATGACAGTTTAAATCATGTAGCATGTAATGGCTAATCCAAAATGATATGGTGAAGATGTTCGATTAAAAATGTGGGGAAAAAAATAGCAAAGTAAGCTTGAAGAATCAGAAATTACTAAAAATTAGCCAAAAAAAAATTAAATAAAAAATTGTTCTAAACTCGTTGGGTTGACCCAAACCTGAAACTTTGGGTTAGGGTTGAGCGTTTCTCAACCCGTGACCTGAAGTAACCCGATCCGAAATAACCCGTGACCTGAAACGACCCGACTCAAACCCAACCTAACTGACCCGATTGACAGGTCTAATAGCAATGCAAGTAGCTTAACTGGGATTACATAAACGAAGTATTTAACGTTTTTGTTTTGATAATTGACATGTCAAATGTGGGATCTATTGGTACTTGTGGCTTTTCATTGGAGAAGTTAATAGATTGAAATTCATATAGTTTAACAATAGTAGTGATGTGGCAAAGCTGAACTATAAAGGTAGTAGCTTTTTATCATGGATGCTCTTAAATACTCTGGCTGTATTTTTTAAAGTGAAAGTCTACACCATTTATTTAATCTATTTTGACTAATATTAATGATTTATACATAAAAAAATTATAGTTTTATGGGTGTTTCTTGAAATCGTCTCAATGAAAAGTTTAATTAATATTCAATTGCTATAATTTTAACTTATGAGTAATAATTAAAAATGTTATTGGTCAAAGTTTTATATTAGTAATGCCCAGATTAAATGTATGTTTCACATAAGAAAAACACGAAGAAAGTATAACGGGAAAACGAAATAGTAGTAATACATAATCAACTAATCATGATTGTTTTAGTATCAAAACAATCACCTCGAATGAGGTTCATTTCTAAAGTGGACGAAGACTTGATGGTATTGCGTTAAATGGCTTTAGCACCTACACAAATAAGCATGTAAATTTGGAGGTGTGTCCGAGAAAACCCTTCAATGTCTAAATTAGCTCGGGGGCATGTTTATTGAGTATTGATAAGATGTCAATGTCAAGGCAAAGGTTGGCAAAATTGGACAGTAGGAGGCTCAATGGTGATGATATTTTGTTAGGTGTAAAATGTAATAAATATTTTTCTTTTTCCCTTCTATGGAGGTGGTGATTAAAGAGGAATGTTTATTGTTATCTTCATATTCAGAGTGTAATAAATATTTTTCTTTAGGTTATTTTTTTTTTCCTTGTATTGGGAGTGAAGTACATAAACTTTATTTATTTTACTAGGACAGCTAACGCGCGCGTCATATCTAGCCATATTCGAAAGTTGTTTTGGTTTGACCTTAAATCGCAAATTTAGTTGTTATGTAAACAACTATGTTTAGGTGTATAAATGTCCAAGGCAACTAACATTAATGATAGAAAATAAGTAAATAAACATTTTTAAGGTATAATTGTCTATACACTTTTCATTAATAAAAACTTGTACTAATGAGGGTATATATGTAAATACATATTTTGAAGAGTATAATTGCATCACACTTCATAAGAGTAATCTTATTCTAAGGTAGGGAAGAATTACACTTACATGTACTCCAAATACACGTACGTTTACATCTTTGTCATATACTCCATACTTCGTACCTTTTATTTTATTTTTTTTGACGGGATACTAAAAATTAAATTTATAATAATTTTCTTTTGAATTAGTCATAAGCTCATGGGGATGGAATGTAAGAAGATGTAAAATTTCATTCATATCTTAGAAACTGTACGTACTCAAATATCCTAATCCACATAGTCTCTATTAATCGGAAATTAGGTTGATTCGACTTAATAATACGGACTAATAATAAATAAATAAATAATCTTAATATTTAGGACTTTTGAATTAATTCCAAATCAACAAACCCAATTCAAATTTAATCAATGTAAATCATAGTTAAATTGAGTTGGATTTAAACTCAGTGTAAAAAAAAAAAAAAAAAAAAAAAAAAAGGGTTTTTTAGATGTTACCACTAAAAAATAACCCACTTTTTGAACTACCACCCATATAAATTTTTATTGTAAAATACCACAAAAAAAGTGGGTTATTTTTTAGTGGTAAAATCTAAAAAATCCTTTTTTTAGATCTCACCGTCATTTCACACTTACCGTCAAAAATACCGTTAAATTATATAATTTTTGAAAACATCATCGATTTCTATGCCAAAACTTGCTCTTAGAAGATCTTATTTGAGGTCAACATTGACAAAAAATTACCAAAAATGTCTCATTTCGCGTGTGTCACGCAAGCCAAGGTATTTTTTTAGTGCACAAAGTGCGTCATTTTTTTTTTTTTTTTTTTTTTGAGAAAAGGCAAGATTTTATTAATCACACAAACCAAACATTACACTGAGGATACTAATCCCCTAGGCAAATGCCCCTTAGCCAAGCTAAGTCTCTAGCCTTAACTTTACTAAAACTAACACTACAAATTCTATGATACACATCAAAACCTATCCTATTTACAAGAACTTCATGCCTCGGAATTTTTGTTCCCCTAATGGCCTCATTCCTTTGCCGCCAGATATTATAGATCAAACCTGCACAAAAACTTTGGCACACCTGTTTCTAGAATCTATTCTTGCACCCTAACACCACTCATTACATGCTATCATTTTACTGAAGTTCTCTTCTCTACAGTCTGTCCTGTAGTAGCATCATCAGCTTCTGACTATAATCACACTAAAAAAGAATGTGATTTATTAGACTATGAACAGGTACCACATAAAGGACAACTATCATCATCTACTACACCATACAGCTTCAGCTTATCCTTAGTTCTCAATCTCCCCCAAGCTGCAATCCAGGCAATAAACCGATGTTTAGGTATATTGAATCTATTCCAGATCCAATTACACCAAGCAACTTTTGGATTAGAGTTCTGCAACTATTTATAAGCAGATGCAACTGTATAGCCAGATGCATAATGCTGCCAAATGTTGCCAACAAAGCCATTCTTGATTTGTTCCTTCATCTTCTATATTTGTTTCCATCGCCAACTAGCTTGAGCAGGGCACCCAACTCTCTTCCAATTTATGCCTTTAATATAATGGTGACTAACCCATCTCAACCAAAGACTTTCATTCTTAATGGCAATATCCCACACGTACTTGCCCATAGTTGCAACATTTTAAGAAAGATAATCTTGAACTCCTAGTCCACCTTGTTTCTTGGGTCTGCAAATGATCTCCCAAGCAATAAGAGGAACTCTACTATAGCTTTTCCATCCAAGATGAAATTTCTTTAAAAATAGCCATCATTCCTTCTAACACTTTCCTAGGCAGCACAAATAGAGAAGCCCAATAAGTGTGCAAGGACATAAGAATCACTACTAAACATTAAGGTTTTTGCGACTGCCTCAAACTGTCACTGGAAATAGCAAAAACGGTCGCTGAAAATAATTGCGACCGTCAATGGTCGTAACGGGGTGGTCGTTATTCACTTGGTCGCAAAAAGAAATTATTATGATTGGTTGACGGTTGCAGATTTTTTGCGACCGTTTTTATTATTTTCAACGACCGCATGGAAAACGGTCGCAAATATTAATAATTGCGACCGGTTTAAGCAGCGGTCGCAATTATGGAAATTAGCAACCGCTTTTGGCCATCGCTAAAAGTTTAAAAAACACAAAAAAAAACAAGAAAAAAACACACCCACTTCCTATACTTCACAGCCAGCCCCACCACCACTTCCTTCCCAAGCCAACTCCACCGACCGCCACTTCCCACCTAAACCACCTTTACCCACCACACTGCCCACCCTAAAACGCCACCCAATCACCTCGAAAACACCACCTGCACTCTCGGTAACTCCAACAACCACCACAAAAACTCCAGTCCACCCCGAAAAACCCAACCAGCCACCACAAAAGCTGACCCCACCCTAAACAAAATTAACGAAAATTCAAACTTGAAAATCGAACAAATTTAAACCCACTAAAATTAACTAAAATCAAACCCAAAAATAACAAAAATCAAACAAAAAAAAAATCAACATTGGAATTCAACGAACCACAAAAATCAAATTAAAAACGCAAACCAAAAATCTAATCAACTCAAAACCAGACAATAAATCAAACCCAAAAAATAAACTAAAAACAAACCACAAAAATTAACCAAAATCAACCAGAATGAAACAAAAAGCAATGAAAAATGAAACCAAAAATCAACCAAAAACACAAAAACATACCTCAAACCCCGAATTGACTTTGAATTTCACTTCGAATTTGGTTTAATAAGGCCAAATTCGACCATAAAAAGTCTAGATTTAGAGTTTTCATGGTAAATTTGACCTTAAAAACCATGAACTTTTTAACACCACCACTTGAGAATCGAACCAAGAGAAATATGGATCGTGAGGGAGAAGTTTCCGGACTCAACAATACCACCAACGTTGTCGGAGAAGAGGGGACTACTCATTCTGAAACAGATCAGTAGAGGAAAGAGAAAGAGAAGGAGAATGGAAAAGTGTGAGGAAAGAGAAGGAGAAGGAGGAGAAGTGTGAGAAGAGGAAAGAGAAAGAAAAGTGGCGCCTAAAAAAATTAGGGTTAGGGTGAGTTTTGATACTTTTATTTTTTATTTTTTAAATAACACTGTTGCGGCCATTTAATAGCCCAAAAACGGTTGTAAATTTGTGACCGCTTTGAAAACGATCGTAATACTGCGACTGCGTACAAATCGGTCGCAAATTTCATATTTTGCGACCGTTTTTATGACGGTCGTAAAAAATCGGTCACAATTTGGCCGAATTTTAGTAGTGCAAACATCATTCACCAAAACCACTCTAGTAGTGTAAGACATGGTTCTACCTCCCCAAGCTTTAATTCTTGCCACAATTTTGTCAATCAGCACATTACAATCATCCTTTGAAAGTTTCTTGGCATTAATTTTACCCTAAGATACTTAAAAGGAAGAGAACCTTCCTGGAAGCCAGATATGTTCTTAATGCCCTCTCTCTCATCCTGATCCACATTGCAAAAATAAACATTCGATTTCCCTCCATTAGCGACTAAACCAGAAGTAGAAGCAAAGGTTGCTAATCCTCTCATCAGCAAAGAAGCAAAACCAGTATTTCCTTTACTCATGACAATAAGATCATCTACAAAGACTAGATGATTCAGTCTCACACCCCTACATCTAGGATGGAACTTGAAGTCCTTATGATCCCCAATTTTATGTAAGAGTCTAGTTAGATACTCCATGCATATCATAAACAAAAGAGGAGAGAGAGGATCTCCCTATCTCAAGCCCTTATTTCCAGGAAAGAACCCATGAACTTCCCCATTAATCACCAAAGAAAAGCTAGGAGATGTGACACATTCCATAACCAAGTTAACAAACTGATAAGAGAATTTAAAGTTATCAACATATCCCTCAGAAAGGTCCAATTCACAAAATCATAAGCGTTTCTAATGTCCACCTTAAACATGCATCCTGGAGGAACATTTTTCCTATTATATCTCCCTATTAAATCTTGCACTGTGCAAATATTGTGACAATCCTCCTTCCTTGAATAAAACCAAACTGATTAGAAGAGATGATATGAGGCAACACCTTCTTAAGTTTAGAGCAAATCAGCTTTGTAATTAGTTTATAGATCACATTGCAACAAGCAATGGGTCTAAAATCAGTAACTGAAATAGGCTGGTCACTTTTAGGAAGCAAAACCAAGTTGGTGTAGTTAATCTCTTTCAGAATCTTGCCCGTCTCACAGCACTGTAAAAAAACATTACAAATGTCCTCCTCCACTGTACTCTAAGCTTGTTTATAGAAGCTACTATTAAAACCATCTAGATCTGGAGCCTTAACACCAGGGATACTGAAAACAACTTTCCTGATCTTATCTTTTGTGAACATTGCAGTTAAGAACTTACCCTTCTCACCAATAACAACAGGACCACAATGAACAACAATTTGATCCACTTTCACATCACACCTATAGTCTGTTCCCAGCAGACATTTGTAATACTCAACAAAAGCTTTAGCCACTTGCTGTCTATCACTACACCAATTCCCATCCTTATCTGTAATAGCAATCACTTTCTTCTTGTAAGCCTGAATTTTTATACTTTTATGAAAAAATGCAGTATTATCATCACCTAGCTTCAACCAGTTCAACTTTTCCTTTTGCTGTAAAAAGGCATAATAATCCTTCCTCACAGTGGCAAACTTTTCTAACACACCTTTTCTTTCTCAATCAACTCAAGGTTACTATAGTCCTGCTGGATATCTTTCTGAACAGTTAATAATTCCTCTTTAACCCCAAGGAATCTAGCCCCAAATCTCTGAATACTCAACTCTATTAAGAGCTTTTAAAGCTTTTTTTACTTCTTTTAATTTCGTAACCACTTCAACTATTTTCTTACCCCTCACACTAACACTCCAAGAATTCTTCACCAATTTATCAAATGAAGGATGATTACCCGACATATCAAAGTATTTAAAATCTTTAGGACCAAAAAAAAAAACTTGCTCCTCAAAATGAACAATAGTAGGGCAATGATCATACCACATCTCAGATTTATAATGAACAAAAAGAACCAGGAAAACTATTAATCCACCCAGGATTAATAAGAGTCCTGTCAATCTTTCTATAAACTCTAGCTTCCCCAAGTTGTTTATTTGTCGAAGTGTACCTAGCACCTGCTTGCACCATGTCATGCAGATCACAGAAAGCCACTCCTTAAAAGGAGTCATCTCCCCACTACTAATCACACTACCTATTCTGTCAACCAGACACTATCCAAGGACCCTCACACCTCCCAGCAATATCTCTCAATTGATCCCATAGATCCACTCTTTCACTAGCATCATTAGAGCCATACACCAAACAACAGTCAAAAAGTTTCTGTATAGTCTTGTTAAAGACTCTAGTGTGAATCACCTGAGGATAAGCACAAATGATGTCAACATGAAAGAAGCCACTTAACCAAGATACAAGTATCCTCTCACCTTTGACTTGGCCAAAGTTAGTAGTAATACACTGTAGGCGTCATTCGAAGCGCGCCTACGTTAAGCATGTTGTAAATATGCTTGACATTCATAGGAAGTGGGAATTGACATACGATTAGGGACACGATTAGAGACAAAGAAAAGTAGGGAGCCGCTAACAAATTTTTTAGGAACTTGTAAACCGTTCACGGATCATTATAAGATAATCATGATTAAGGGTTAACAATAAGCAACAACGATTGACCCGTGAAGGTTACACCCCATTCATAATCCATAAGATTACTAACTCCATATGGTTCGGAACCATAAAAGGAGGATTGGGGATGATGGTACAAAGTGAGTCATGGAGTCACATTCGCCCGTATTGGCCTCTACTCGATTCTTATAGTGAAAAGTATTTCCTACGATATCAAAGGCATGCAAACAAAGATTCAATTTGCTCCAAACTACTATTAGGCTAAGTTGGTTGAATGTTAATGCAACATATAATTCTAAAATATTGTGATCACCTAATTAAGCAACAAGATTAAAAAGGAACCTAAACCAGTCATCCAAGTTATCTTATTAGGCATTATATTCAATTACATATTTCCTTTTAAAATTCAATATGGTGATCAATAAATATAACAAAAATAAACATCAACATTGGAAGCAATTTAACCATAGAGACATTACTCAAATCAAATCATAATAATAAGCCTAATCATGATACTACCAATAAGAAAAATAATAAGAGTAAATAAGTAAATTAATTACTCGCGTTCCGTGCTTCTTTAAATCGCTACATCATGAATAAATTGTTAGTAACTTTAAGGAAAATAATAAATAATAATGAAAATTAAATTAAATTAAACTAGAGTTGATTTGGGGCCAAACCCTCAAACAGTTCTACCTTTCACGCCTTGGTTTAAGTTTAGAACCTCGGGTAAAGTATGGACTCCGGAGAGTGTTTAGGGGATGTATTGTGGAAGAATAGGGAAGGCTAGAGCATAAGAGAGAAAGAGAGAATGATTTGATGCCCCGAAACTGGTGAAATCAGCTTCGAATTTATAGAGAAAATGTGAGGGGTAAGGTACGGAACCTTAGAATTGAAGCGCCGGGAAGAATTTAAACCTAAATATTGCTGTGCCACGGCAAAAATTTCCGTGACACGGTACATCTTACCGTGACGCGATGCAATTTTCCTTGACACGACAAAACTTGTCGTGACGCGGCAAATTAGTTTTCCTGAATTCGGTCTAAATTCATTTTATCTTTTTCTTAAGCATTAAGCACGGGATAATTAGGCGCCATTTCAGCTATTCCGAACTTATTTCAGGCTTAGGGTTTTATTATTTATTAATTGGGCTTAATTAATAAATAACACGAAATGAATTAAAAAGGATTTGGGCTAAAATTAGGGTTGGACTAAGTTTGAATAAATGCTTGGACTGATTATGTTTGAATGAATATATATGGATTTTAAGCACTCCCGAGATTAAATACTTGACCCAACCAATAATGGCGGTGAAAGGTTGTTCATCATTGGGTTTGGTTTTGGGGAGACCATTTTAGGTGTCTACAGAAGCCCCCACTTTGACCGAGTTTTAGAAACGTAAGTTTTAAAAACGATAGTTAAAGTAGTCCATTGGGACGAAGAACAATTTAAGACGTTTTGCGATCCTAAACCACTCTGTATACACCGATACTTGCATAAAAGCGTTAGTTCCAAAGATAAAAGAGTGAAGATATATAATATGTATCTGACACTAGTGCATGGCAACAAACACGTTTGGTAGCTTTCTAGGCCTCACGAAATCCACCGAATGATAATTTTCCATACCTCGGGAATTCTACTGTGAACCATTATGCCTCGAGCGATCCACTAGATAAAAGGTGACAAGCTTCCACACCTCGGGAAACATGTGGTAGACTCCCACGCCTCGAGCAGCCTACTGAATGGTGATCTTCCACGCCTTGAGATGATCACTGAGTGTTTGATGAATGATGATGGTTCGATTATCCCCGAACGTGGGCTTTAGATGTTGATGGTTTGATTGTCCCCGAACGTGGGTTGTAGATGGTTCGATTGTCCCCGAACCTGGGTTATAGATGGTTCGATTGTCCCCGAACGTGGGATGTGGATGGTTCGATTGTCCCCGAACATGGGTTGTAGATGATTTGATTGTCCCCGAACGTGGGTTGTGGATGGTTCGATTGTCCCCGAACGTGGGTTGTAGATAGTTTGATTGTCCCCGAACGTGGGTTGTAGATGGTTCGATCGTCCCCGGATATGGGTTGTTAATGGTTCGATTGTCCCCGAATGTGGGGCTGTTGATGGTTCGATTGTCTCCGAACGTGGGCTGTGGATGGTTTGATTATCCCCGAACGTGAGCTATAGATGGTTCGGTTGTCCCCGAATGTGGGTTGTTGATGGTTCGATTTTCCCTGAACGTGGGCTGTAGATGGTTCGATTGTCCCCAAACGTGGGCTGTAGATGGTTCGATTATCCTCAAACGTGGGTTGTACTCAAGACCTACAAATTGGGGTTTGCCAAAGGACTCGTATAGATTGTGATT